AAAAAAAAAAAAAAAAGGATAAAAAGAGAATTGCTTGAACCCAGGAGGCGTTGGTTGCAGTGAGCCAAGATGGCACCATTCCACTCCAGCCTGGGCGACAGAGGAAGACTCAAAAAAAAAGAAAAAGAAAAAAATATTAGGGTAAGGAGGCCAGCTTTTCACACCCTATGCAAATAAAAGAAAATCTAGCCCTAACCAGTTTTTTGCAACCTATGCAAATGAAACACCTGGTCCAACCAACCTTTTGCGACCTCAGAAAGAGCGCTTCTCTTTCTTTCGCCCATTAAACTCCCACTCTGAACCTCACTCTCTGTGTGTCTGAGTCCTAGTTTCTGTGGCTGTGAGACAACAACTCTCTAGCATTTACCCCAGACAACACCACCATGCCAGTGGGAGAAACACTTAAAACCAGGTGTTCAAGGCCGGCCTGGGCCACTTAGTGAGACCCTATCTCTATGAAACAAACAAACAAACAATAAGCAGGGGCCAGGCACGGCGGCTCACGCCTATAATCCTAACACTTTGGGAGGCCAAGGTGGGCGGATCACCTGAGGTCAGGAGTTCAAGACCAGCCTGACCAACATTGTGAGACCTCGTCTTTTAAAAAAAAACAAAAAACAAAAATTATCTGGGAGTGGTGGCACGTGCCTGTAATCCCAGCTACTCAGGAGGCTGAGGCAGGAGAATCACTTGAACCCGGGGGGCAGAGGTTGCAGTGAGCCGAGATCGTGCCACTGCACTCCAGTCAGCAGTCAGCCTGGGTAACAGAGACTTCTGCTAAAAAGCAAAAACAAACAACAGACAAAAACAGGCCAGGTATGGTGGCTCACCCCTGTAATCCCAGCACTTTGGGAGGCCGAGGCGGGTGGATCACCTAAGGTCCGCAGTTAGAGACCAGCCTGACCAACATGGTGAAACTCCGTCTCTACTAAAAATACAAAATCAGCTGGCATGGCAGCACATGCCTGTAATATCGGCTACTCGGGAGACTGAGGCAGGAGAATCGCTTGAACCCAGAGGTGGAGGTTGTAGTAAGCCAAGATCACGCCATAGCACTCCAGCCTGGGTGACAGAGCGAGACCCATCTCAGAACAAACAAACAAACCAAAAACGAAACAAAGCAAAAACAATTAGCGGGGGCAGGCTTCAGGGTGGGCTGCTCGGCTGCCTGGATTGGGAAGGCCATGAGAAGTTGGCTGAAGGAGGAGTCTAGGGAAACTCCTAGATTTTCTGGGTGCTTCATGGACTCTCTGATTTGGGGAGGCTTGGGGAGCACCGGGCAGGTCTGAGAGTGGCCTGGGAGCCTGGCTGTGCCCTGCAATCTTGATGCTTTGGGGTAGGCAGGGTTTGCCACACCAGGCTGGAGGGCAGGGCAGTTCCCCAGGAACATCTCCCAGTGGACAAAGGCTCTGGACGTGGGTATGAGTGTGAAACTCCCCTTGGCAAATACCTCCCCCACGGAAATGTACATGCAGCCTTCTCCCTTGGAATAAGGCAGGAAAATTAAAAAAAAAAATGTATAAAAAGGTGAGGTCACAATGGGCGGCAGACAGTGGGGGACATTGCACCATCCCTGCAGGAAGGAAGCACCTTGGAGCTGACCCAGGCCGCCTCCCTTTGCTTCCTTTGGAAACGCTTGTGACTTTTCAAATACTGCGTTTTGCTGACAGGGCAAAACATGCACAGCTGGCCATGACAACAGGCCCTCTGAAGACTTGGAGAAAGTTCCAGGTTGACTCAGAGGAATGTGGGTTGGAATCCTTGCTTCGTCTCTGGTTACCTCTGTGAGCTTGGGCAAGGATGGGCTTTTTTTTTTTTTTTTTTTTTTTTGTAAGATGGGGTTTCACCATCATGGCCAGGCTGGTCTTCAACTCCTGACCTCAGGTGATCCACCCACCTCGGCCTCCCAAAGTGCTAGGATTACAGGCGTAAGCCACTGCGCCCGGCCCAAGGATGGGCTTTTTAATAAACTCTTCTGGAGTAACTGGATATATATGTGGCACAAAATGAACATTGATCCCTACCTCACACCCTACACATACAAAAAATTCAACTTTGGGGAAAGCCCTTTCTAGCTCTGAGCCTCCTCTGGGCCATAGTTTCCCACTCACAGAGCTGCTTTGGTACTGGGTCCCAGAAGTCCTGCCTGAACACCTGGCAAAAAGTAACTGTCATTGGAGTTGCAGAGGTTCGTGCCTGGAATCCCAGTGCTATGGGAGGCTAAAGCAGGAGGATTACTTGAGGCCAGGAGTTCTAGACCAGCCTGGGCAACATAGGCAGACCTCATCTCTCTAAAACATTTTTTTTTTCTTTTTTGAGACAGAGTCTTATTTGGTCCCCCAGGCTGGAGTGCAGTGGTGCCATCTTGGCTCTCTGCAACCTCTGCCTCTGGGGTTCAAGCAAATCTCCCACCTCAGCCACCTGAGTAGCTGGGACTACAGGCACGTGCCACCAGGCCCAACTAATTTTTTTTATTTTTAGTAGAAACAGGGTTTCACCATGTTGGCCAGGCTGGTCTCGAACTGTTGACCTCAAGTGATCTACCCATGTCTGCCTCCCAAAGTGCTGGGATTATAAGCATGAGCCACCACACCCAACCTAAGGTTTCACTTTCTGTAGTGTTGGCTACCTTCAGTCAACCTCAATCCAAACATATTAAATGGAAAATTCCAGAAATAATTCATCAGTTTTCAATTGCCTGCCGTTCCAAGTAATGTGATGAAATCAGCCCCTGCCCTGCTCCCTCCCGCCCCGGATGTGAATCATCCTTTTGTTCAGGGCTCCCACGCCGTAGACATTACCAGCCTACTTGTCACTTAGTAATTTTCTGGTTGATCAGATCGACTGTCTTGGTATTACAGTGCTTACGTTTGAGAAATCCTAATTTTATTAACTTTCTATGTTATTATGTTATTGTTGTTAATCTTTTTTTTTCTGTCACCAGACTAGAGTGCAATGGCGCAATCTCGGCTCACTGCAACCCCAGACTCCCCAGTTCAAGCGATTCTCCTCCCTCAGCCTCCTGAGTAGCTGGGATTACAGGCACGCACAACCACACCCAGCTAATTTTTTTGTGTGTGTGTTTTTAGTAGAGACAAGGTTTCACCATGTTGGCCAGGCTGATCTTAAATTCTTTTTTTTTTTAATTTAAAAAAATTTTTTAATTTTTTAATTTTAATTTTAATTTTAATTTATTTTTATTTTTATTTTTTTATTTTTTTTTGAGACGGAGTCTTGCTCTTGTTACCCAGGCTGGAGTGCAATGGTGCGATCTCGGCTCACCGCAACCTCCG